ATCTATTACCGGATAGCTAAAAGAAAGTTTAGAGAAATTATATATTTTCTTTTGATAAATTTACGCTTACAAAGAAAGTGGAGTCTAGCCGTAACTATATGAAACTGTTCAAATAGCAAGCTTTTACTTAGTGGAAATGCATTTCACTACCACTATGTGGTTAGTGGCTATAAATTTTTGAACAAAACTGTTACAAGGGTATTAAAATCACAGGTCGGTGAATATTCCTGAATTTGCAACCTAGTGTAATTAGTCAGTGATAGTGAAACTTTCGTTCCCTTACCGCTAACCAGAATAGTAAAACTATATTTCAATATCACTATGTAGTGCTACGGAAATTGGAAATACACTACCACTACCTTAGTGGTAGTGAAAATTTCGATTAAGTGCAATTTGCCTAAGGCAGGGTGTTGGAGCTCTTGTCACTGGTTATAGTTTGGAAGTAGTAAAAAAAATGTTTCTACCTACGATCCATCATAAATGCCAGCAAGAGCGCCAGCTTGGGTATCAATCGAAGAATAACTCTTGCCAACAGGTGCTACCTGGGGTTCAGTAGCCAATTGAAAAGCAGAGTCCGCTCTTGACAAACCAAAGTTGGTTGAGAAAACATTACAGATTTTTGCATATGCCTTTTCTCTTCCCACAATTTTTCCGGCATTTTGGGTTTGAGTCAATTGTAATAATTAGAGTGGTTTTTTCAAACCGGTTTCCACCGTTATTTTTTATATCTACAAGACTGATTTTGATTCGTGTTACGTTTGATCTAAAAAAATTTTGAACTTATTTTACTTTGCTCTTTTCTCAATAAAGGCAATAGAATTAATGTAGTATGTATTCGGTCATGACTTCAAACCAACATTAATCATTTTCACTGTATGAAAACTATGTAAAATAAAGCCGGGTTTCTCTTAATTTCAAAACAGGCAACCGGTTTTTTTTTCAATTGTAATTTTTCGAATAACTCGAAAACCGGTTTTGGAGAAAAGGCGAATAATCGAACACCCTAGTAGTTATAAAAATTTTTTTGAAAAAAATACATGTTAATTGTTTTTTAATAGCTCAATTGAAAAAAACTTTCCAAACTACATAATACTCAAATCAGGACCCGAAGAGAACATGTAATTGATGAAAACTCTCATGGAAAAGGAAATGTTCTACAACTAAGTGATACATACCCATCGATTTCTTTTTATACCGAGACTCAAATTTGAAAATAAATTTCTATTTGCAATTTTTATGCAAAATTTAAAAAAATTAACAAATATTTTTGATTTTATATTATTAACCCAAAATAACAATTATTTTTGATTTTTATATTATATGTCTTAGATAACAGTTATGGAAAACATTTATTTGTTAAAGTCATCAATAAAAATCAGTCAGTGACTTTTCCTTTTAAAAGACATCAATATAAATCTGTCACCAACTTTTACTTTTTAAATCATTCATATGTCATTAACATTTTTCGCAGTTAAGAAGGTGTTGGGAAACAAAAGTTTACTAAGGCTTATACAAATGACTTTAATAAGTATGATTTAAAAAATAAAGATTAGTGACTGAGTTTTTTTTATGACTTATAAATAAGTATTCGATAACCGTTATGAAAAACATATAATTTAAAAATCTAAGATAACCGTTATTTGCAGATTATTTATACGAAAAATCCAAAATAATTGTCATTTTGGATTTATAAACCAAAAGGCAGAAATAAGGGTTATTTAAGGAGTACTTAAATAAAAGTCAAAAAACAATTGTTAAATAGCGATTTTTTTAATAAAACTAGAACTGTTACGGTCCCTGATTCAAATAAATTTGCGTTGCTCGTCACGTTCGTATATTTGTGTACGTATGAATGTATCTTTAAATATGAGTAAACTATAAATATATACATCTGTGCCGTTCAATTAAAGTAGCTTAAGTGGCTTTAGAAGGTTTGAATTTGAATTAAAAAACTATCACTTTTCCTTGAAATATTTTTTTTATATTTTTATTAAGCTACTATTAAAAGACCATCTTGAACTATGGCTATTTAAAAATTAAAATATTGTTTGGGAACCCAATGAAATGTTGCTTTAAAGGGAAATGGGCTATGCCGACTTAGGCTACTTTGACTGAACCGCACAGATAATCCCTATGCATTTTATTTTATTTATTTATTTTTCAATATATTATAATTAGACAAGACTTGTACGAGTATAGGCAGTTACGCGATTATAACTTCGTATTAATTAGTTATGTCTAAGCCATACATTTAATACGAGTAAGCCTTGCTTATACTACTTATATATATATATATTTATACGTTTATAACATTTATGCTTTTTATCATCTTTTTACAAGGTTTCGATATATTTATATATTGTTCTTATTACATATACATAAAATATACCTATTTGACAAAGCGAATTTTATTTGCGAAATATTTTGCAAAAAAACTGAGCAAATAAATGATTACGTTGCCATCGACGTTGATTGAGAAAACAAGGAAAACTCGCATGGAAAAGATAATCAAAAAACATTTATGTATGTATTTTGTTTCGAAAATTTGACAATTTGAAAAAAAAAACTAATGTTCCATACTTTCACTCGAAGACATAGTTAGTGCTCCACTGTGACCATTGGACTATTCGAGAGAAAGATTTTGCAGAATATTTACGGGCCTTTACGCGTTGGCGACGGCGAGTATCGCGCAACGAATTAAAATACTTTGGCTCCGCTGGCTTGGCCATGTCGTTCGAATGGATTCCGAGGCTCCAGCTCTGAAAGTATTCAACTTGGAACGCGCTAGTGGTAGCAGAGGAAGAGGAAGGCCCCCGCTGCGATGGAAAGACCAAGTGGAGCAGGACTTGGCTTCACTTGACATTTCCAATTGGCGTTGAAGTTGGCACAGAAGAGAAACGATTGGCGTAATTTGTTAAACTCGGCCAAAATCGCTTAGGTGGTTACAGCGCCAAATAAGAAAAAGAAGATATTCGCCAAACCCAGTGACTGAGATGCCTCGATTATAGGCTCGTAAATCGACGAAAAAATAGGTGAATCGATTTATCCTCATTTTCAGCACGGCAACTTCTGCAGAGAGTTTTTTTTTATCGGATAGTACTTATTGGCATCTGCCATCCTTAGAGCATTGTTGCAATAGCACAGTTTTCCATGATAAGCTTCAGAAGATCTTCTGATTGGTTATCGACCAAAATAGTAACATCCCCGTCTGGAACCATGATATGCAGCTAAAAGTTAGTTGCCATGCCTTAGCTTAGCTTAGGTCCCTTCTTCGAGGCCAATACAGTCATTCGGCAAACGAAGGAAGATCTGTGATAAGGGGAATCATCAACGACACAACCCAAAGGCGTGTACTCTCCTACCTGTGGCTCTTGGTAGTGAAGGAAGTTCTGGCGGTAACTACTCAAAGCTAAAAGAATTAATCTTGTGGCCTACGACTTATCACAGATGAATGCTTTGGAGGGTGCACTGATTGACATTACTAGGTTCGCTAGCCAGAATGAATTAGGGGTTAAAGCCCTCAAAACAAAACTACTCTTATTTAACAGGAAACAAATTACCCTTTTTCACTTCCGAGATAAGGGGAAGCTACTATGTATCTTTACAAGGCATCAGTGCATATTATATCGCGCTTTTAAGCTCACAGAAGCCGGTACGTGGAAACCAACAATATAATGAATGCTATAAAATGTTATATGCAAGCCAGCAAGTAGTCACATTATGCACGTTTGTGACTTCAATACTAAAACACCTATTAGCTTTCCGACCAGAGAAAAGAACTCCAAATGGTAGAGGGTGGTATAGGTATAGGGTGTATTCCTCGAGTTTTAAAGATATTCGTGTAGCACACTTTCTACAGATGTACACTTACAGTCTAGTTAGTCTAGACTTAACTTAACTGAGGTAAGAAATCGGCAATGATTACTCAACACATCCACTTATCTATAAGCGAAAATATTTGTTTTGGTATTTTCCTTTTCAGCTGATGGTCACTTTGCCGTCTATAAGCCACATACCCTAATTCCTGATCAAAAATATATTGCGTTGGCCAATATATTAGGTTATGTTACGTAAATTAAGTCTAGACAAACTGATCCTTTACGGTAATGCATGCTGTGTTATGCCCATCATGTGGATGCAGGTCAACTAGCCGTGCAAAAGTTTTTAGGGGGAACGATGAAATATTTCTCGGCCTGATGTCATTTTTTCAGGAATGATTTAACTTCCCTGCCTTCAGTATCAACATATCCTCACCTCTATCTTAGCATTTTTTGAAGAAGCTTATTCCAATCTTTCTGCTTTAAACCCATCTAAAGACCAGACAGACCAAGCTAACTTCTCCCTATACGTACTTGAGACCTGCTCTCTTGGAACGCGATGCCGATTTTTCGCTTGGTGAGCAAAACTTTGGTCCGTGCTTTGTGGTAAAGTGGGCTGCTTTTTACCGTCCAGTCTAAGGTAGGTCGATATATTTTTTCAGATATAGGAAGCATGGTACGCTAAACTTTGGATTTTATTTTTGTGTGTAAGAAAAGGTTACATTTTAAAGTTGAACTTTAAACTTGAAATCGACCTCAGTGGATGCCCTTTGTGGAGCGGTAGCCTCCAAGTATGAGCGGGCTGATAAATTTGGCCAACTCTGAACCTCTGGATCACTGATTAAGGTTAAAGAAATTTATCGGTACAGATTTTACAAAAAACAATAGTTAGGGGGATAAACAAGTTCTTTTTGAAGAAGCTGACCTGAGCGGTAGCAAAATTCTTTAGCAAGCAGAAAGGGAAAAAACTGCGACTATAAGTCGGTTTGATCAAGGTAAAAATATAATAATGTAATAAGTGAATGTCTTCGTGCCACAGGGTATTGACAATAGAGGAATTTTCTGTGTTTCTCACTGGCATTTGTCAAACTAAATAAACTATCTACTAAATCCATGTATACAACAACAAATTTCAAACTAACAAAATATATAAAGTACTAAAAAATAAAAAGTTTTTTAAGGAACTATTGAATATTAGTTTTTATTTAACGTCATTTTCCGTTTACTCGAAATATCTTTCAATACGCTCAACTAAATGCACAGCAATCCATACTTGAATATACATACATATATTTTTTTTTTTTTTGGAAAACGTGGCTTTGATTTTCATTTAAATTATATTATCCGTAAAACTTAAGTCTTGCGATATACAGTGAAATCATAACCCATAAACTGTTTTATATTATTATTGAGTTTTAATTACTAAATATTTATTTAATTTTTATTTATACAAATCCACGTAGTTTTATGAGTGATTTCTCAGTAGTAAAAAAATTAGTGCAAATCTGCACAAATAAAAAATACTTGGAGACTTGTGTAATCTGTCAGCTGCATAGTATTTGATAAGGCAAAAGGGGAAAAAAGAAATGAGAGAAAAGAAAGGATATGCATAATAAATATTTTTAATATTTTATTTCATTGCAATAATATTTTGAGTTAATATTTTTTCAAACAACTTTTGAGGAAGTTATGTAGTTTTTCATTTAATAAATTTCTGGGATATTAGCAAAAGATTTTTTTTAAATTAATAATAAAAAAATGATCTACTAAAGTGCTTAGCATAAACCTAAAACTTGTAACCAAAAATAATGATAAATTTTTGTTGAAAATCTATAATTTTAAAAATTACGATATGTATAAATAAAAAAGCTTTTTTTAATAATGACTTAATTTTTTGCTAGTTATTTTTAAAAATATGTGCATATCTATATGTTCCTTCCAAAAATTAAATATTTACTTGTTTTTATAACAACACTCACCTGCAGAGCCATCCAATTGCTTCGGTGGCTGTTCGGTATAATACATACTTTTGCCAATAGCCAGCGTGCCTTTGCGATCGACTGCATTTATATTCGCCCCTCCCAGCGCAGACATGCCATTGCCATTTCCCGCAGACATGGAAATTGTGGCAGAGTGCGATGAAGAAGCCGACGATGCACCACCACCCAGCAGATCTGCTTTCATCGAATGAATGTCTTTTTGTAGTGCATTCGTTGAATCATTTCGTGTGGGTATTATATTGTCTGGTAGAAATAGTTTAGAAGGAAAGCGAAAATGGAAGAGCGGTCAAGTTGTTGCTAATATTTTTGAATATGTACGTATAACTGTAAATTTTTTAACTTTTATACAAAACACCTAAATCATACGAAAGCTATAAAATGCACCTTTTCATTTAAACAAAACTTAATATAACTTTTGGAGATATGATTATTTCTTATGTACTCACTTTCCCTTGTTTCGATGGTTGTATGTGTGACTTGTTTTGAGGGCGTAGATGGTAGTGGTATCTCTGAAAAAAATATTATTTTCGAAGTTATTAGCGGAAATAAATGTTGGCGTTACTTCTTAGGGCTACATATATTTATAAGCATAAGTAAAAGCAGATGAATGATCGAAGTAACAGTCTGACACTTTATTGTAAACTTTCGGACTCGTACTATCTTGTTTTAGCAAATTCCTTCCTATTTTATTCCTTCATCATTCATCTTTATTTATCACATTTGACCATCTCAGCCTTTTCTTTGCTAGAGACAGATCCTTCACGACAGAGAGGAATATAGCATCTGTTTAGGGCAGAGCGGTTAGTGTGATAATCTTCTTAGAGTCGATTTCTGAAGACATTGAAAAGAATGAACTATCCGATTTTTGGGAAAGCTCATAGATGCTCTCTAATGACTTACGATAGGATGTCTTAACTTTTTTCAAACAGGATAGAGTGGAAATAGCTGCCTTAATTCTAAGGGGTATTTCAGAATACCCCAACTCTTGAGATTAGCGGTAGGCTAAAAGCTCTGGAACCAAAACACAATGAACTAATAAAGAAGCCGACAAGACATGAAAGTTTTGAAGAATTCTTTCCAGACAAATGTGCGTTTATTGAGATATTTCATCCAAAATCTTTCTGTCTACAAGTAGACCATAGTTAGTCTAACGACCTCTTAAATCAAAGAAACCCGCAGGTCGCGTTACTTGTATGAGCCTTAACTACTACTTGTCTGATTTCAATCGATGCGATAAGCACCAACACCACCTTAGGTTCTTACTATTTCAGCTGTATGAACGATTATTAAAGGAAAAATTGGATTTCAGAAATCAAGTAAACCTATAAGATTATAAAAATATTTGAGAAAGCAATGCAGATAGGTAATCTTAGAACTTAAAAGCTGTACTAAGCTTTTGTATACAAAAAAAAATTAGAGTGCGGTATTGTGTGATTAAAAAAAAAAATAATAATCTAAATATAGAGCTCAAGCTCACAGACAAAAATGAATGTAGAAAACTGCATAACCCTACGCATGTAGTAAAAATACACACAAGTACATATAAGTATAAGAAGGTATGAGCACAAAGCGACAAATAAAAATGTACGTTATAGGTACACATACAAGTATCGACAACGAAATTGTCCGAAAACGAGTGGATATAAAAATAGTAAAAGTGAATCGCAAGAAGAAAATGAAAAAAAAAACAATATTGAGTAAATGGACATAAGTAAGTACGTACATATTGTCTAAAAATCGCTACAGCCAAAAACAGTGGCATGTAAAAGAAAATAGATTCATTTGTACGTAGTATGTATTACCGTGGGCCGAAAATCCGCTTTTTTAGAATTTTGATTGGTAATAGCAAAAAAAATGGTTCATTATGCTTTAAAAAAAAATCTGTGTGAAATTTGGATTTTTTTGGTTCTACATCCTAGGCCCGCCCCAGGTTCATCAAAGTTCAATATGCTCAAAAAACAAAAATCAATAAATAAATTAATTAATATATATTTTTTTACTAAATTGCCATAATCTTCGAAAGTATCAGTGCTACATAATATGGACATTTTTGCAGAAAATCGAAGTTGGCTAAGAAAAATATAACATTATTGAGTACGTGGGGAATCACACTGGCATTGATAAGAGACGCATTTCTTGCTACAAGCTCGTTAAAAAAGAGTCGAATCTCGAATCACTAACACACGTGAATTTTAAGCTTGGGGTCTGCGCCCACAACTTCGATAATCTGTTGAGGCCTGAGTTGTGGCCAGCAAATGTTTCTGTTCGGCCGTTCCGTTTTTTTCAAAAATTGCCGCAACAAATGCAACTGAAGTAGCTCATGCGCGCTGGCGTAGTTGTTTATTATCAGAATCAGCAGACACTACAAAGCCAGTCGACAGCACTACCAGTGTGGTTGCACATAGTAAAATCAAAATTTATTTTCAAAATGTTTCTGGAATGAGAACTAAAGCTGATGTAGTCCGCAGACTGAGCTCACATTTGGATTTTGACATATTCGTAATCGTCGAAAGCTGGTTAACACCTAATTTCTTTGACTCTGAGTTCTTCGATCCCGATCTATATAACGTTTATCGCAAGGACCGCGACGAAATCAGGTCGGGCCTGTCCAGAGGCGGTGGAGTGCTTATAGCAGTTCAGCGTAGATTGTGCTCGTCGATGGTTCATCTTCAAAATAATGATTCTATCCTCGAGCAGTTGTGCGTGAATGTTCGGAGTTCCTCTGAACTTCTCTTTGTATGTGTCTCTTATATTCCACCGAGCAGTTGCTTCGACATATATAGTGCGCACGTTGATAATGTTTTGAATCTCAGCTCAAGGATTGGCGAACACCACCTCTGTGTACTAGGTGACTTTAATTTGTGTAATGTATCTTGGAATAGCTTTAATAGCTCCTCGTCTTTTACTGCGGTTAATGCGACTACAGACAGTGAGTTATACGTAACTGATAGTTTCCTAAGTATTGGTCTTCAACAAATTAATGGAATTATAAATAATTATAAGCGTATTTTAGATCTAATTTTCATTAGCAATAATGTAAGTTATTGGGTGTTTGAATGCCCTTCCCCAATAACTCGCGTAAATAATCATCATATTCCTATGGAGGTTCATATTAAATTTTATGTTTTCGCTACTGTTCCTCATGAAAGATGCCGGCCAACTTTTAACTTTAGTTCGTGCAATTTTGATCTCTTAAATAGCCGTTTTCATGATTATGATTGGAAACACATACTCAGCAATTTGGATGCTAACGCTGCATACAATGTTTTTAAAAGTAGTATATATGAGGCGTGTGTAGAAATAGTGCCTTTAATTACGAGGAAGTTGTATAAGTTACCATGGTACAATAAGGATCTAAAGCGACTCANCAAGGATCTAAAGCGACTCAAAAATCGTAAAAATAGGCTTTTTAAAAGATTTAGGGCAACTAGGTCCCAATCTGTGTTCGTCAGTTATCAGTACTGAATTAGGAGCTTTAATGCCTTGGACAAGATTCTCTATAATAAGTTTATTAG